TTTGTGATAAAAATTTGACGTTGGAAATGTGTTTGTCGACAATATCTCAATTTTGTGATAAAATTCGTCAAGCTCATCAACAAAATTTAGAACAACGTAAACGATTTGAACAAGAACAGAAACGTTTGATTATAACAATACCATCGAAAAAACGCGCTACTAAATATAATCAATCAGTTGAAAGTGCACTGGCCACTGAACTGCGGCTTCAGTTGGCAGCAACACAAAAATGCATAGTTACATGCAAAGTGTGTTCAAACAAATTCGAAAAAGGTTTACAATGTACTCATTGTAGTCTCACATCTCAGTCATCCCCACTGTCAACAATAATAGCGAATGGTTTAGTATTAGTGGTGAAACGACTACAGAACGTTTAGTCGGTATTTTTAGTATATATTTTAGTAGTACTTCTGGAATAGTTTGGGTGAGTAAAAAATTACCACGATACCAGTAGCTAGTTTAAAGGTTCTTCTATCAATTCATCCATTTAAAAATGGTTGTATGGAGACAAATTTTTTATACAGTAAGATTCAGAATCAAATAGATTACAACATTAGACTACTTGCCGACTCACATATATTGAGACTATTTGTAAATGATGTTTCTACTTTCATATTACACAATGGAAGAAGTTTTAATTTAGCCTTCGTGGGCTGAATCAAACATCGCGCTATTATCAGTAAGATGAATCAAAGGTCTACAGTTAAAGCATGGCGTATTTACTCTAAAAAAGCTCGTCAACTTTTATTTGCTATTCACCTTCTAGACAACATCAACTAAATTTGGGAATTTTCTTTCTCGTCACTCATAATAATATATGCTCATGGTGTTTGGAGTAAAAACGCCATGCTTTGACTGTTGAATTTTGATTCATCTCACTGATATAAGGGCGATGTTTGATTCAGCCTACGAAGGCTAAATTAAAGCTTCTTCCATTGTGTAATATGAAAGTAGAAACGTCATATCAGGGTTGCCAGAAGTGGTGAGTCATGAGGGACGGAACAAAGAAATTGTCATGGTGATTCTTTGTTCCGCCCTCAGGAGTCACCAGTTCTGGCAACCCTGCGTCATATACAAATAGTCTCAATATATGAGAGTCGGCAAATAGTCTAATGTTATAATCTATTCAATTCTGAATTTTACTGTATAATTGTAAAAAATTTGTCTTCATACAAACATAGCCTTAGGTGAATCCAAACTTTCATGAGTACGTCTCAGTAAAGTACTTGGAGTTTAAAAAAATTTTTACTCACCAAGACTATCGCTGAAGTACTGCGAACTCTACGTTTTTACATTTGATTCGCTTCACTCTATTATTTGAAAACGAGTGAGGTAGTTTTTATTTCTTTATGTATTGCTTATTTTTAAATGTGTGTAAATGACTAACCGTTAGTTTTGTATATAAGCGTATTTGTAGGTTCAAACAGCTGGTGTCTTTGGCGATACATCTATAGCAATTATTTTTCCTTTTCTGTTTTCATTGATTACCCTATATGCCAGCAACCGATAGCGATGGATGGTTTATTTAGTCAGGTCACCGTTTTCGTGTAAGATCGATACTCCGGAAGGAAATGACAGAAAGAAAGTAGAACAGTCAACTTGAATTGAATTGCATGCTTCTCTCTTATCATTTTCAGCGTTTACAATTTAAGCGATAAGTCATTTCAAGTACAGGAACGAACTGATGCAACCGACAAAGTTATAGCACGGTTTAGATACATTAGCTGATACCAAAATAACTTGATACTCCTGCCATTCAAAGGACCTAAATATAGCACCACAAAAAACTGACGTATCTAGACCCATGAAGCGATGTCAAGAGAACAATTTGTAGCATTGTCCGATGCTAATTGTTTGTTTTGTGCTTCGGAGTAGAAAAATCAGATTTCCTAAAATCTGTTGCTTTCAAAATCAGTTTGCTTTCAAAATAATTAAATCGCCCTATTAGTTCTCGTGACACTTGCACACAAGATTCAAATAGATTAACAACTATGTAACCTGAATCAATTAAAAAAGAAATGAAAGTACAGCCGAATAATCTTCTTGTAGCAGATTTTTTCCCAGTTCTGTCTGATGTCACAAATCAATTAAACATTTATTAGTATCATCGACAAACATTATGTGTTTTTACAGAGATTTTATTTTTTTGTTTTTTTGTTTAGACATTTTTTTACAAAATGTGCACGGCGTGATCTAGCGAACTACGCTACTTGGAAAACTTCTGAAAACGGGAGGACAATCTCTCGTTTTTATATTTTCTTCTTTCTTTCTTTCGTCCCTTTTTTAGGCAAAATATACACCTCGTGATCTAGAGAAGTATGAAAGCTAGATAAGCTCTGGAAAAGGTAGAATATTCTCCCAACATTGGAGATTGATCAATGTACATTTTGCACTCAAAACCAGATCCATATTCGAGGCCATATACGCCACAAGTGAAATAAAACTGTATTTTGAACTTCGAAATTTTTTCGTATATTCAGTTGTCCAGCGCCAATTTTTTTCTTTGAGAACTTAATGAAAAGTGACAATTTCTTGAAACTTTGTCAACCCTCACTTTGAATTAGGGCAGATCTGTGCAGTCGGTGGACCCGTTTCTTTTCGGCAACATTTGTCGATCTTGGTATTCACTCGAATGGGCAAATCACCTGGACATTGGAACAACTCACAAATGGAGAGTCGTTCGAGGACTTCTTCGAATCCATCCAAATCATTCCAAAGAGGCCGAAACAGAGAACAGATTCATTCGCCGGTCAATGTCTTTTCGGTCTTTTGAAGAATATGCCGTGCATCTGTCTAAATCTCGAATGGCAAACAAATCCAGCTTGGCAACGATTCATGCCTGACTACTGAGTTCAATTCTTCTTCTTTTGCTCAGCTGGAAGTTCTTTACATAGCAGTATTTGCTTTGACAATTGTCAGTGTCGGACACCTTTGCCCGATAACTAAAAAAGTTACCGTACAGCTGTGAAATTTCCGGATAACTTTATTTTTTTTTTCGAATTTCCTCGAGAGACGTAAAATCATGAATATCATGGATCTTCGGAGGACTGTTAACCATGGATGTCAACCAATAATACCTAACATTCTTATACCGACATGATCAGCTCGGTGAGCATTACAAACGCTAAAAGTTTTACTTTTGGAAAAATTTCGTCATAACATGATATACATTTCATAGTACCACCCCTAGTAATGAGTAGATGAATGATAGATGTTCAGATGTCATTATCAGACGTACAGTCATGTCACTGCAGAGAAATCTGCTGCTAAAATTCATTTAATATCGAAAAAAGTCATTCTCAATTAAAGTGGACGAAGAATTATCGCAATATAACAAAAGTCCTATGTAGACCATAGAGTTGCGTTGAAGAATTAAATATCAAATCAATCAGTTATAAAAATGAATTATATACGATTCGATGCAGTTTTTGACGCTCTTTCAGAATCCGGGCTTAAAAAATGGAAGACTATTTGATTGATAACCTTATGGTCAAAATACTGCCGCCGGACTCGGTTTTTGGTCGATTCGCCGCCTAGTATATCGACCCTCAGTGGTCCTAGAAATCATTTAAAAAATTTTCATATATACAGTTCGATAGAACGAAAAATTCTCTATCTTTTGAGATATTACAGTAAAAGATTACTGCATGTGTTGAGGAGAAGATGAAATACTGTAAAAACGGAAAGTTTGAGATTTTGACCTAAACCATCGTGACACACCACCAATGTCGCCTGAATAATTTTTTAAGGCTCGACGTGAATGAAGCTAAAACTTTGGATTGGTAGGTTTTCGAACACGGCCTTTCATTTTATGCAAAAATATCCAGTTTTAAAAATCCATCAAGTGTCCATGCTGTTCAGATTAGGCGGTATTCCCAGGGACCCTCTCTTAAATATTTCTTTCTTCAACTCTTTTGATGCTGTTGTTGTAAGAAATTGATCGAATTATAGAATAATAAAATTCACAGAGTTTGAATCCAAGTATAACTTTTGCTTCTTCTTGAGAAACATTTGAAAATGAAGTCATGTATTTTCGTTTTCGCTTCGAAGGTGGTGCAGTGTCAGCCATTTAGTCACTTTGCCGATTTGCAAGAATACATCAGCAGTTTGCCGGCCAATATCGTCCAGAACATTTGTGCACATCCGGCGAGCTATCTGGCTATCTCTCGGCTAGTATACTAAATCGGGTGACTCTTTGGAATCGATGTTGAAATTTTTCTTTCAGAGATCTGCCTATTCCTCCGCGAACGATCATCACGCGTTTCCTCTGTTTGTCCAATGTGGCAACGGGTGGTCGGCCTCAACCGATTAGACAAACCATCGTTGTCTCATGGGTCAATTTATCTCATCAGAAGTAGAATTTTTTCCCCGGTGAAAGAGAGCAAGAATCTTTCTTAGTACATACAAGAGTGTGAGCGCAATGCTCGTCCGACTAGGCATTTGGAGTGGAGTCAGTTCAACCTAGCAACTCAATGTCATTCTTCACAACAATTTAACCGGTGCCATCTTCACCGGGTAAGTTAAGACAGTAACCGATCACCATGGCTGGCACTTTGTCTCACTATAAATTCGTCCGATATCACGAACTAAGGGACTCCACAGGCGTTATCTATAGAAAAGTGGTGACATGGGCAAATTCACTTTCGATCATACTGCAATGTAGCTTCATCTATGAACAGAAGTTTTCATTTTTTTATGATGAATCACTTTTAGAAAATGAACAATATCAAAAAGCAATTGAACAATTTTTCAATGTTATGAATTATTTTACATTGACACTTCTTGGATTAGCAAGAGCGAATGTCAAACTCAAAAAAACAAATTCTCGTCTCTTGAACGAGATGCTTTAGAAATGAGATTTTGGTCTCTCATGCTATGGTCAAATATCGAACTGTTTAGGCACACCCTTCGAAAACAAATGTTCCTGGACATCTTCGAATCATTATTTCAATTATTATCCGTTCCAGAAGTCAAGGCAGTCGGTTGTTTTTTGAATAACGTTTGATAGGAACAAGATAGAGACCTGCGATTTTTACCGTTTGATAGCCAAGATCCAGACGCATATTTTCATAAGCAAAACCGTTTCTAAGGAAAAATCTAAAGACCAGTTTTTCGGAGGATCTTTGGAAAACCACGCTGGATTTCTGAAAACTCCGTTAAGAGTATATTGATTTTTTTACATAGGTAGATAGCCCAGAGTGTCCCCTACAAAACTAGATCTGAATCAAAGTTTTATCTCACAAGATCTGGGAGAACCAGGCAGTTCACTGGAAGCTCTAGGATTCCCCTTTCTTTAGATGTGACACCATTATAAATACATGCAAACATAGGTTATCGACTATGCTGAACATCGGAGCAATATTTATTTTCTTTTTAGAATAATTTTCTTTAATTAATCATACATGAGTATTATTGATATGTGCTGTTCCCATATGAAAAAGATGCTCTTTTGACGATTTATGTATTCTTTTCGCTTGAATATATAAAAACATGAAGAAAGACAATTATCTACTTTAAAAAGAGGCAGTTCAATCATTGGTTTCATCATCATCATTTAACATCTCGTTATCGATATCATCGTCGCCGTCGATTAGATCATTTTCTAATTCTTCAGCAATTTTATCTGCAGTTTTAAATATTTCTTCATGTTTATGAACGTATGTAAAATAGCCAGAAGCATGTTCAGGATCACACGCTGCCAACCACTCGCTACAAAGTTGTTCAATATCGTTCAAAATGAAACGAATATTCTGTTGTCGCACATAATTCTTTAAACCCGCCTAACCCAACTCAATGGGATTTAACACACAGTGCTTGACCGGTATTCGAACAATTTCAATATCATATTTACTTGCTATTTTGTCAGCTATGTATTCTTTTGGCGATAAATGAGTAAAAGCTAATTCAATTAATTCGGCCTTTGTCATCCAAGCACGTTTTGGTGGTTCGGATTCTGGAGTAAGCTTGTTATGCCACGTGGCATTATCTATAATAATGGCAATTTTAGCCGATTTTCCATGTTCAGAGCGTAAAGTACTAGCTGCACTATCCATCCATGCAACAAAATGATTATTATCCATAGAATGCACTTCATCGCACTTGAAAATATCCAATGAACGAAGGTGAAAACCATTTAGACTAAGAAAACCACTAATCCCTAAACGTTGACCTATAAAAGTCCGAACAGAAATGCAGTTTAAAAAGATTTTGGAGATAAAATCTTACTCAGTCCCTTTTCCTTCACTCTTTCTAAGACGACCATAACCGTTATCATCAAACCAAACGACTGTTTTTTCTTCATTTTTATTTAACCATGTTTCATCGTGGCAGTACATGATTGAATTGTTTAATCGTAATGAATCGATTTTTCTAAAGTAAACAGCACGTTGAGCCTGGAAGGCCACTGAATTCATTAAAACCTTTGGGTTTTTCGTTTGTTCGTATTTTTCGTTGTTGTCGTATGAGAAAAACGATCTGAATTTCTGAAATGTTGATCGTTGAAGAATTCAATTGACAATCGAGTAGAACGTTGTTTTATTTGTAACTATCACATTTTTTTAAATCGTATAAAATACCAAATTTTCAAAGACGGAAAATGAAAATAATTGGATGCAGTTCCCAAGATACAGATTAGATTTTTCGTAGTTTGTTTCATTTGTTTGAACAGAATCAAATTGTTTCCGGATCTCTTTTCGAACTGAAGAACTTCACGAGAGGAAATATATTGAGGAGTTTATGCAAATGATTGATTCTTGTAACATTGAACAGAACTCCATTTGACGAATATCTTCGTTTAGTAGAAATCCTCCTTCGATAGATTGACTGAACTTTATTCTGTCAAATAAAAGAGAAGAATTTTGCTTTTTCTTCCGAGTTTATGGAATATTTTCATTGTTGTTTGTGTGCTTTGCCTTTCTCTCTGTTGTCTGTTGGCGAGAGAACATTCTTCTACTGAGTTATGCGTTACAGAATTCTACCCGAGGTCAGCACGATGGAGAAACGAATGCTCCAAGTTTTCTTTCTCGTAGTGTTTCTTGTGAACAATGTCGAAATGTTTCTTCAATCGAGCGTTGATGATAATCGTACATCTCTCTGTCGATCAATGCCAAGAACATCAATGCGGCCTCGTTTGCCTACGTCAATCCACTCGCACTCACGTTGCGTTGGTCTCTGGTGATTATGATGACTGAAACGGGCATCGCTCTGGTGCTGCTAATAACAATACTTCTGTGTTTTGCATCGGATCCATTGGCAAGTTGTTCATTGCTACTGTGACTATGCAGCTCAAGGAACGTGGTTTACCATAATGATGAGCTTTTTAGGACAAATCTTTAGGGCCCTTATATGATCTATTTGCATCAAACAGAAATTTCATAATTAAAAAAAATCAGTTTACTATCCTAGTCGATAGTTTCAGAAGAATTCTAAGAAACTCTCTTAAAAACTTCAAGATCAATTTTCACAAAGGATTCTCTATACTCTACCACGAAAAATAGAAGTCAATAAGGATTTCTCGTTTTTTGAAGAATGGAATAGGAGATCATTGAAGCTTGACTCAAGCTTGAATGAAGTCCTACTCTGTCCAAATTTAATGATTGAGATAGTAGTTGTAGTACTACCACACCAAGTTGATTCTCATCAGATCACAGGTCTTTTGATGAATTTACTTTTGAAAAGCAATTTACATGGGCAAAACAAAATGCACAAATAGTATTACAACTGGTTTAAAATAACATGATATCAATTAAGAAGGCTTTGTTTGAGATATTCTAGTGAAGACACTGGTTGTTATTTGAGCCGATCGTACTGCTTCAGTTTGACTATGAGGTAACAAATCCGAAATAGAATTAGCCTCGAAAGCAGTAGATCTATTGATATTGTGAGCAACTTTTGGTGATAAATTATTGGTAGCTGTTGATGACCGAATAAAGTTTTTCCGATTATTTATCGTTATAGGAGGACGTCCATTTATTCTTGGAGATGCAGTTGAAGACTCTGTTTCACTGCTTGAACTCATTGTTCTAAACCCTTTTGGTTGAGATGATAGAGCAGTCGAAGAACAATGATGATTCTGCTGAGTTATTGATGACTTGCTGATCATATTCGTGTTCATAATGTCGAATGCTCGTATTGGCTCAGTTTTTTTCAGTCGAGAAGACGTGACACGTTCAAATACGTTTGAATTTCTCTCGGGTAAATTCAATTCATTGCTGTTAAGAAAAAACATTTGTTCAGTGTGTTTATTTAACATTCTGTTGAATCGAGACGATTGTCTAATCAAATTTGACTGCTGTGGAGCGGAAATTTTTTGATTAACAGAAATATTTTGAAATGACGATGCATGATGAAGTGGGGTAGAATCAGATTGTGGTGTCACACGACGATTTATTGAGGATGATCGTCGACAACTGCTCTTATTTATCACTGGTGAAGGTAAATGCGGAACCAATGGTACACTGGCACTATTACTGCTCTGATAAAGACGCAATTTTGTTTTTGACTTTGAGCAATTATGTGATGGTATGGATGATGATATACTTCTAATTGACGAGCAGTGACTATCAGAAGATTGTAACGATATCGAGGTAGATTCAGATTTATCATCGGATGAATCGATTACATTGTTCACGGTCACTGGTACTGGTATGGCTGATGGTGAGGCAGTTTTTGCACGAGACTTTAGATCATTTTGATTCCATATTCTACGAGAAACGGAACATCGCTGAATATGCCTGCTTCTCAAATTTTCCGATGATGGTATTCGATTATCGATTATTATTTGATTCGAGTTTGATATACACGATGCATTATATGTTGATACGGAACTTGTTAATAGGACAACAGTTTTCTTAATTAACGGATTTATACGAGAAAATGACGAATTTGTCACTGTCGTAGGAGAAATATCTGTACTGTAGTTAATATCATCATATGAAACATTTACTTGTTCTTTTGATACGGTTAACCTCTGCATTTCGTCTACAAGAGAATCATTAGAATTCAGTTCTTCCATCACGCATTTGTTCGTCAACAAATCGTTTTCTTTATGATCATGATCAATGTTATCAATTAAATTAGAATTAGATTCTAAGCTCTCAATAATAATGCTACTAGGAATATTTATTCTTAGGGTGTTCGTGTTTTCAACGAACGTTTTCTCATCTTTCAAGGTGATTTCATCGGTACCATTCGAAAATCGTTTAACACCGTCTATGTCACTGTGATTCACATCAAAATTATTTACATTTTCACTGACATTTGATAATGTTTCAAAACCTTCGTCCTTTTCTGTATCAGACAGTCCCACAGGGGTATGTTCTTTGTCATGGTGATCAACTGTACTATCTGCATCAATAAAGAGCAATTTATCTTCTTTTGACGACTAGAATAGAAACAAACAGCAAACTAATCACTGTTTTCACTGAATAGCTTACTCAGTGATGATGACAGCAACCTGCTCACTTACCTTAAAGCACTCTGTCTGTGTTCACAAAAGATCGTATGGGAAAGTATTTGTAAGAAAATATAGGATTTTCTTCTCAGAAAAATATTATATTGTGCGTATTTTTGCAAGTTTTTAAAAATATTTGTGTTTTCACTACTATTTAAGATAAAATTTGCACAAAGTGATTTGATCGTTGGCAGATTTTGATAAGAAAACATTTTTAATGTTTTTTTGTAAATTAACTTGTTCCAACATTTTGGAACAAATCTTCCTTCAGTAATATTTTAAACCTCAACAAATAAATAAGCATATACACAATCGTTAAATGAGTCAATTAACTTTTTAGTTTTAAGAGCATCATCTATCGTTAATACAAGTTGCATTCGCGCCCAAAGATTAACAATTTCAGATATATTAGATGGACAAGCAAACCGTTTTATTTTTTCATCCCCCCCAGTTGCAAAAACAATGGTTATTCATAATAAGTGACAGAAAAAAAAGATGTAACAACTACTAGAAGGTATAAATATCAAGACAAATGCAAACATTCACATACAGTTAAAATAAAACAAAACAAAACAGAAGAAAGAAGAGTATAAGAAAAAAGTGTTGTTAAAAATTTATGATTAATCCGAAATATAGTAGTACAAAGTTACTTTGTGTTTAAAATAAGAGCAGGTGACTAGGATTTGTTGAAGAAAAAGTGTAGACGAAAAATTAGAAAGAGTTTTCAGTCATAGTTGTATTTGTACTTGAAAAAAATATCATCATTAGTTATCATCATGTTTAATTGCATTATGTTGAAATAAATTTTTGCAGCAAAATACTAGCCATCTTAAATACTATAACAAAAAAATAACAGACAAGCCAAGTTTACCTAAATGCATATTTTCTTAAAAAAAATTGTCGCGAACAAGCAGAAGGGAAAACCATTGATCGATAGTGTACTGATAAAAAAATTCGTAAGCCGCCACAATCGCATGAGTGAGATTCGTAAATTCGAAATACCGAACAAGTTTTTCGAATGAAGACTTAAAATTTTTCAGTTTTTTCGAAAAAATCTCAGATGATCAAAAAGCAATTTTTTTTCATACGTTGAGGAAACTTTTAGTGAAAAAAGGTGTTCATATCAATATATCTTTGTTCACTCGGAATATCTTAGCTCATTTGTCAAGAAAAACCACCTATAGCTGATAGATTTAGCGAGATTATTTCGCTAAAGTATTAATGACGGATCAGGGACGGGGGTGCAACGAATGTATATATATATGAACATCATAAAAAACAATTACAAATAATAAACATTATGATTTGAGAAAAACATTTCCAGATAATATAATCTATATTGTAGCTTTAATCGATTTTATACAATATTTTAGGAATAGACACCATTTATTCATATTGTATCTCAATTGTTGAAAAACTTATTGTTACGATATTTAAAACAAGATGAGAAGTCACCGACTTTATTGTATATACTAGAGCCTGAAGATATATGTACAAAGAACTGGTTGTCTTATGCCCGGAAAAGTCAACTATAAAATTTCAAAAATCTATTTCTGCTCTGATGTTGTTATTTGCTGATAAAGTTGATGGCAAAAATATTAGAATAAAACACAAAACGATTACTACCAAATATAATACTAGAATTAATGGACGTCGAAAATTTGAATGAAATTCAAAATCCAACAGTAAAAATTTATTTTCTAAATAAACAGTTTAAATAAAAAATTTTAATTCGTTTACAGCAAGGATTAGGTCAAAATAATAAAATCAGTGCTAACCATGGTATGGTAATATCATTCAAAAATGCAATTTCAATAGAAAGAACAATAAAATTGATATTACGGTCGTTCGGTCCACTATCAACACAAGTCAAAAACAAATTACAGACGTATCAACTGAACTAGAACTATTCACTGTAAAAACGACTAAAAACAAAAGGATCGTTATTAAAAAGATATTACCAATAAAAAACAAAACAAAAAGATGTAGAGTAAATATGCTTTACTACGACATTTACAATAGAATTTTTTGATAGGTAATTAATAAAAAGAAATGAAGTACGTATAGTTGGTAATACAATTTGTCGGAACAGTAGAAATTGACGAAAATTATCGTTAGTAGAAGCCTTTCTGCAAATTTCAGACATTTTAGGTGTTTTGCATCAAAAGTAAAGTGGTTTTTTCCACATATTTCACATAAAACCTCATCATGCAATCAATCGTAATCTCCTTTCTTTTAGTACTCTGGCGTTTCAGCTGAATATACTTAAACGCAAATTGAAAGATAAAGGAAACCTACCTATCTCTCTTAGTCTAACGTTTGAGAAGAGACAGTCTGCTAATGTGTATAAGAAACCATCTATCTGGTTAGTATGTTTAATGTGCAACCGTAGAGAAGATGAAATATGCAGCATAAAAGAAATTAGTACAAAACACCACACTTGATAAAATATCTCCTTACCTCATTTAAAATATTATCAGTGGGTGTTTGACGGTAATGATAATATGTATCTTTTTCAGCATATAATTGCTGTTGTTTAGATGACATCGTCACACGAATAATATCCGAGTACGCATCTCGATCAATCGCGTATTGATGATTATTTAGATAAAATGGTGATGATGATGATGATGTATTTGAATCAATTAATGTGAAGGATGAATCACTGGGTTCTATCGGTTGAGTTATATCATAATCGTTTAATTTACTATCATTACCTGTATTACTATTATCACCAACTGATTTTTCAGATAAATAAAATGGTTGATCTGAACAGGCTAAACTTGATTCGTTGCAATTATTATAAACAACCATAGAAACTTGATCATTTATATCTGAAACAGATTCTGTTCTTGAAATCATGTCCTTTTCAACATCCATATTGCTTTTACTCTAAAATATTCAAAATTGAATTATTTCATATTAAACGCATTGGAGAAGATTTTAGACGAATGAAAGACAGAACACACCTGTTCATGATTTAACTGATTATTATAAATTGGTGATGACATGGTACGATCGGACGAATCGAGTAGTGATATTGATTGCTGCATATTCAAAGCTAAACTTGGCTTTCTTTTCGAGTTATCGTTTTCATCATTCGGTGATGATGATCGTTTTCTTCCAACAACAGACTTTTGTGATGTTGATAAACTACAACGAGTACATTGTGAACTTTTCTCAAATTTATTTGAACATACAAGGCATTCAGTTATCATTGGACATATATCATCTTCATTATGCAATTTACAATAGGATAAATCACGACTGTAGTTAACACAACGACTAAAATGAATTTTACGTTTTTGTGTTGTTGCTTTTGATGTTATCGGCGTAAAACATTCGTTAGCAAATACACTTTCTGATGAACGATTTTTTCTAGCCACCGATGTTAGCTGACATTTTTTCATGCCTGGTGTTGCCGTTCTTGAATCAAATAAATCTGCTTTTAATTTCAATGATATTAAACGTTTCTGTTCTTGTTCAAATCGTTTACGTTGTTCTAAATTTTGTTGATGAGCTTGACGAATTTTATCACAAAATTGAGATATTGTCGACAAACACATTTCCAACGTCAAATTTTTATCACAAA